AAAAAAAAAAAAAAAAAGATGGTGTAAATAAACTCCTAATTGTTCCAAAAATTTAGAATGACTAATAGAGTAAATAAGTATTTAATATTGTCGAATATTGTAAGATCAGTACCTACCACCAGAACATACACTTCGGAATTTTTGTCATCTAAGTTGACCGTTGCTTTGAATAAAAAATCTGCTCTATACTTTGCCACTAAATTACCGTACAGTTCCTCAGTTTTAACATGTTCAGTACTTTTATTAGACTCCAATGTTGGCCATCCACCAAATGATTTGATCAAATTTGAAAATGTGCTTCTCCAAGTCAAAGCAATTAAGGCTGAAAAAAAAGAGCATAAAAAAAACAGAACAGCTAATCGACAGCGGTTAACAGCAAAAGAAAAAAAAAAGAAGCAAATAAACAAGAAAAACTGTTAAACATTGAAAAAATAAAATTGATTCCACTATTTCATCTTATTTTTTTTTGTCTTTTTTTTTGGTTTAATAAGAATCTAAGAAAAATGCATATACGTATACAAATGCATTAACATAATAAGAGTATTCTTTAGAATAAACTTTCTTCATCTCTTATGCAAATCAGCAAACAACAAAAAAAAAAAACGCTAAATGCTTTCAAAGGAAAATTATGTAATAAAGTTATCTTTGTTTTTTAGTTCTAACTAAAGAAGTAATTTCCCAACTATAAAAGGTGAACAAAACTATCAGTTTTTCAAGTGAAATATGCATAAATTAGCATAAATTAAGTAGATTTGTCTATTATACTTACTTTCATTTAAGCATATCTGATAAAACTTTTTTGCCTTTCCAACAGCTGCGCCCTCTGTGGCCCTGTCGTGCGGCTCTTCCAGCAAATCTTTAGCGAAGTGGGAATGTTATTTTATTTAATTTTTTTTTTTTTTGAAACAATCATAGAAGCAAAAAAAAAAAAAAACAAAACCACGTTATTTTTTGAAACAAAACCACGTTATTTTTAAGAGTAAGAATGTGGATAAGAAAAGATGAAAAAGAATGAAGGCGTTTACATTTGATACTTTGTGGTTTTCTTGAAAGCTGCACAATGCTCATTCTGCAACATCTAATGCGCATTGTTTAACATTTTAAATGCTCATAAATTTAGTCAGTTTTTGATAACCTTTTTTAAATTATCTCAACAAAAACAAATTTTTGCTATCATTAAACAACGTAAACAATTACTTTTGAGCGCTAGTTCCAGTTTTTGTCCAAGATTTTCAAAATTAGACACAGAAGGCGCATCGTCGGGTATTGGATGCTCAATCATCCAATTTCCACAAGCAAATTCATAGAAATCCTCACAAGGATCTGCTGATGCGTTCATTGAGGACAATATTACTTCTGCTAAAAACCTTCACAAATTATTTATTTAAAATCTTTTTTTGTGGAACTTCTAGTCACTGTATTAAAATTTGGAAACAATTTCTAACATTTTTTTTAATGTTTATAATATTTCTGTTTTAAATCACTCTAATTATTTTGCCATTGTTCGTTGTGATAATACCAGTTGTAAAAATAAAAAAATTTTTCATAATCATTCTTTACTGTAGAAGTTACTTTAAAGAGTGAGTGTTCATTATAAGTAATATTATTAAAAGTAGAAAGAAAAAGCAAAAAAAAAAAAATTACAAAAAGCTCACAAGTTCGAATACATGATGGAGTTAAACAAATTTCTGGAACTGATTTGCCCCTAATGGTTATCAGCAATAATGCTGTTAGTAATACAATTGAGAGAACACTTAACAGTACTACCGCTACAGTTAACCATCGAGCTAAATTTGTTGGTCTTGTATTTCCCATGTTGCTGAAAAAAATAAGCAAAAAAAAAAAAAACAAAAAAAATTTGTTTTAACACTGGTTAATACGATAACGGAAAAGATAAAAGTCAAATAAACTGGTGCACTAAATTAGATTCGTTTACTGACATATAACATATGCCTTGGAAACCAGAAGGAAAATAAAAAAAAAACCCTCTATAAGAAAGAATAGCAAAAGACAAAACAAAGTGAAGAATAAGATGCATTTTCTATGATTGTCAATTCAAAAATTAAATAAACAACAAACTTTGGTGTTACGACAGCAATTATGTAAATGTTTCAAAACACTAAATTAACAGTCAAACCTGTTGTATTAGTTTTTTTTTTTTGGCACGTTTATTTATTCAACTTTTACTGCTTAAAAAGATATTTTACAAAAAATGCCAGGCACTAAGCGCAAAATAAACCTGGAAAGAAAAAAAAAAAACACAGGACAAAAAAACCAGTGATATAAATAGCATAACAAAAATATTCTATGATTTAGCTTATTCATGCATCTAAAGTCATTGAATCTGTTAACAGATGCAGGTGTTAACAAAAGTGAAATTTTTTGCAACATGCAAATGAATAGAACATTAAAATTGAGACATGAAAAAATAAAAAAAAAAAAACATAAAAAAGAAGCTTTTTTTTAGGTTTTCTATCATATTCTTTTTGCTATTTCTCGCTGTTTACCAATTTTTTCAAAATTTTCATCTTTAACAGTTGAGTGAAATTACAATTTTACCGGCAAAGAATTCTTCATTGCAGGAACTTATTTAGTCGAAAAAAAAGCAGCAGCAAATGTATCTTATCAGTGCTGTTATTCCGCTTTTGCTGTCAATGCTGCTGCTATTTCTTCTGCTCCTCCTGGTTTCATTGTCGAAGACAGGCAAAGAAGGAAAATGAAAGAAGAAGCTAGGAAACGAACAATTTTGGTTTTAACCAAACTGCCTTCGATGTCCAGAAAGACTGATGTTATTGAAAATGGCTCTGGTTGCTGCAATAACTGCTGTCTTGAATAAGCAATATTTTTGTAGAAAAGTATTTATTCCCAATTAGAATTTGTCCAAAATAAGGTTTTTTAAAAAAAGCACAAAAAAAAGCAAAAAAAAGTTTTAGTTAGTTACCTTAGCATAGACGTTTCTTTGTACGTTGTGAATGAATGGTCAAACATATTAGTAGCAATTCTAGATAAATTCATATATCAAATAAGCAGAGGAGTAAGAGCAATAAATGGTTATTAAAAGTTAAAAAGAAAATACTCTCTGTCAAACCTTTTTTAAACTAATGCATGCTTTCTGAAATGAATCTTTATATCAAGAC